ATACATTTTTTTTATCATAACAGTTGATATTAAGATGACTGGACATGTAAATATAGACAGCAAAATACATTACATCACACAAGCTGAAACATCAAGAGTATAACAATATTCAACATATGGTAACCCCTTTCTATACAAGTGGATACAATATTTGTTCAATCACTAGTTAAACCAGATCACTAAGCTTAAGAAGTAACAAGAATCTTCTTTCTAACAAAAATAACACTTCTAGAAGTTATAATTTTCCTACATTGAAAATGTATTTTTGATAGGTACTTACCTCTGCTAATAAGATTAGCTATTCTCATTCAGTGCTGCCCCCTATATGCAAACGTTTTCTTTAGCCATGCCACAAGCCTTGTGTGCCCCCCCCCGTTGCAGTTACTCTATTGTAACATGTCCCTCATGCAAATCATCATGCATCACTTCTTAACCAATAGTAACAAGACATGCTCACATGGTGCATGCGACTCCCTCTATACTCCTCTACCGAACCTTCACTTCGAAGTTTGGCAGAAGGTGTGAGCAACGGAGAAGTGGGGAGGAAGGGTGGGAAGTGTGAGAGGAGGTAAGTACCAATCGAAAATACATTTTCAGTATAGGAAAATGATAACCTGATACGGTACTTACCTCCTCTCACAAAATTAGTTAGAATACCACATTGAAATGGAGGAGGGACCGGTGCAAGGGAACAAAAGAAGTGTCCCTGAAAGCATCCAAAGGATACCTCTAACCATTTGCCCATGTGTATATTTTGTAATGAACAATGGCGCAGCGGAAAATACCCAGTAAGTCAACTACATCCAAAACCTCATCGCAGGGTACCAACAATTACATGAGGGTGGGATGAGGATCATATCGTCTTCACCTCAAACCCAAGAATCAAGGGATTAAGACCCGTACTGATTTCTGGATATGACACGAGAATCATCATTGATCTATCGATCCGTGAATAGACATCCAGTATCTATCAAAGAATGTCTATCACATGTAATCAACTCCCCCAACCATGGCACAGTCCAGCATCATCCAAAGGCAATAACATCCCCATAAGAAGAGAACAAAGGATAGACAAAGGATCGCACTGGAACAATCCCACATATGATCGCTTGGACCAAAGACACAGACAGATCAATTGGGAAAAGAAAGATAGACAACCTGTACTCGTGTGATGACTTGTGTTGATTGGTTCACTCTAATACAAAACCTCTATGCTGGGAACCAGTTTCCACATGAAGGTAGGATGAGGTCTCCCAATCAAAGGGGTGAACTGCAATTGCAAGAGCTCAACTCCAGTGTATATGTAAAGTGTATCAAGAGGTCACATCATCCAGTAAGATGACAGTTCAATTTCAGTGTTAGTGTAAAACAAAGTGGGAGGCCAACATCATCCCATAAGGTGACAGATAAACTCCCCTGGTTGTGTAAATAGTATCAGGAGGCCACATCAATTCCAGTGTTAGTGTAAAACAAAGTGGGAGGCCAACATCATCCCATAAGGTGACAGATAAACTCCCCTGGCTGTGTAAATAGTATCAGGAGGCCACGTCAACCAGGAAGGTGATGGCTCAACTCCAGTGATTGTGTAATAGGTATCAGGAGGCCACGTCAACTAGAAGGTGATGGCTCAACTCCAGTGTGGTTGTGTAAACATGATCAGGAGGCCATGTCAACCAGCAAGGTGATGGTTCAACCCCTCTGGAGGTCACATCATATCTACAGCAGCAGAACACCCCAGCTGTATTCTCAACTGAATGGTTTGAATATTTTTAAGTGTGGAACTCATTCAGGAGGGAGCCTCCTTGGTCAACCACACCAGGGGTTTGAAACTGGAAGTGGTAAGGACTCCCATATTCCACTTGAGGAAAGGAGGGTGACAATGTGGTGGAGAGCCCAGAGGAATGTCATCACCAGAGGCAGTACAATGGGTGACCACAAAATCATACTTTGAAAAGCAGACCATACCAGGTTATTCACTAGAGGCATGGCAGGGATTGGCAGCAATCCCTTTCTGCTTTATCTATGTAGTCCATGGGTGGTATGGTCCAGAATGGGCATGTTTATGAAGCAACTTATCACAAGGTAATGAACCATCAAACGATCTTGTGGAACACCCCATCTCGACAGTGAGCATGCAAAATCATGGGTGAGAGAGCACAAATCAACACGGCTGACAGTGTGGATTTAGAGTTAAAGAATACCTGGTCAGGCACCACTCTCCACAGAGCGAGATCCATAAACTGAAAAATGAAGCAAGGACATCTTAAAGTAAAAGAAAAGTACTAATATAAACTAATCTAGTCAAAGTTACACTGAATATTGTAAAAAAGGCTGCAGGCGAAACACAAAAACCCGACGAAGTAGAAACTGTGATATAGATGAAATAAAGGGAGATGAACATATGAGGTGTAGTCCACATGCCCTACAGAAGAATTTCCTTGAATGGATGATGCAGATGAGATGCCAGAGAAAAGATAAGGCATGAAATGTGATGAGAAGATACCATGAACATAGTTCGGGAGGAAAACATAAGAGAGGAATCAGCCAATCAAAACAAAAGACGAACCAATTAGGTGAAGATTGGAGGAAAAATATCTGAACAGAGGATGTTAACTTGGAATAAAGAAGTGGGAACAAGCACCATGGATGGAAGCCATGCAGGTAATACAACACTGAAGAGCATGTACAGGACGTAGAAGGCTATCCGGATCATGCTGAAGATGAGGTGGAAAATAAATAGAAAGGGGAAAGCAGCAAAAAGGAGGAGGAACTCTCCCTCACTATAGAGGTGGGAGGGAGGAAAGAATGATCAGGAAAAGGAGAAGATATGTATGAAGATAAAGAGTATGTGAAACATCAATGGCAAAAAAAAACAAAAAACTACTGACATCCCCCAACCAAGAGAAGAAAAAGGTCTGAAAGGAAAGGTGAAACAAGGAGCACATGGAAAGTGGTTCAAATAGAGGCAAAGAAAGGCAATGGAGGACTACCAGAACATCCCAGTCTGGAAGGGCAGCCCATCATGGAGGATGACTAATCTGGAAAGAATGAAACAAGAGGGATAGTGTAGGAGAGGAAAACACAACAGTATCAGGAAAAATGGTAGGTTTGGGAGAAAGACGCGAAATAACCAGAAATCAAGGCAATACAGTAACCCTGATTAAGGAGCCTAATAAGAATTCCATAATACAAAAAACAGTGGGCCAAACTGTCATAAGTCCTCAGCCCAGAAACTGCTGAAGGCATAGAAACCACGACGGAGCCAACCAGTAAGGAGCAATCAAAAGGACCTGACACGACAAAGTATGGAAGAATCACCAGGCAAAAGAGTCAAATGGAAGGATAACATATAGGAAATTATCGGTCCAATCCTGAATGAAAGCATCAACAGTCAGGGGAAGCAGATGAGGGACCGAAGACCAAAACAGAAGGAGTTTTTAGTTGAGGGATGTGCCAAATATGAAGAGGATCAAGAGGCCACTCCGATGGATAGTCTGTCCAGACAGGAAAAATGATCTGTGACAAGAAGGAAAGCACCCAGGAACATGACACACCATTATATGGATATCCTGGATGTGGGTCTAGAAAAAAAGATCCAATGTGTGAAAACATAGGGATCAAGAACAGGTGTCACCCTGGCAAATGAGGTTAACAACCACAGTGGATTTATTAGGATGAATCATGACCAGATAATGTCTGGCCAGATAGAGGAAATGATGGTATGCCAAATCAAACTGATCCGTAGGCAAAGCACGCTGGCACTTACAACCTAATATCTGGGGAAAGGGATAAAACATCACATACCTAGCTCATTCGCAGGTGGGGCAGAGGAAGACATGGCAAAATCTAGTGGCAGAAAAAGCCTATCAAATCTTCACCAGAACAAACAGGGTCAGATTTTTCATGAGGAAGTGGGACAACATCAGGAGAGGGTGTTAGACCCACACAATGTTCAATCTCTCGGTGAAAATTCTCAGGTAAATCCCATGAAGAGTCTCCCCCACCCACAAAAATGGTAAAAATAGTGCTCTTAGTAGGTATGTTTGATAGATAATACAAGCGGCAATAAAACTGTTAAAGTTATGATGACAAAGCACATGAGAGCAAAATTTGAAACGTTTGAACACAAGTACTGCCAAACGAGAAGTGAAGCTTTGGTACAGAAGTATCGAGGGAGTCACATGTGTCACGTGAGCATGTCATGCTACTATTGGTTAAGAGATGATGCATGATGATTTGCATGAGAGACATGTTGGAATATAGTAATTGTGGCATGCGTAAAGAAAGAGTTTGCATATAGAGGGCAGCAATGAACAAGGATAGGTAATCTCGTGAGAAGAGTAAGGACCTTATCAGAATACTAAAGTTTTCAAACATCAATAAGCTCACATATGAATACACCAAAAAACAATACATATCAAACTATCTTATGTTCTTAAGTTTTTGTTGATGAGTGTCTAAGTGTATCAACTTGAGTAATGAATAGCAACTTGACTTGTGACATACCAGAAAAAAAACATGCAACTACATATTTCCAGTTAGTTGCTTCATGGTAATACAAAACCTATTAAAGTGATGTAAATAGAAACTCATAATAAACTCCTAGTATTATGTTATATTACTTATTAAAACAGGGTAAATTGGTTAAAATAACAGTATTTAAGTTACATAAAAGTAGTTAAAACATTATTAATACCAGAAACCATTATATATTTCTCTAAATTTAATTATATTTTGTATATAACATTCACTAGCTTGTAAATCTCTAAATAAACTTTGCAACAACAACAAAATAAAATTGTGCACACACAATTATAATAAAACATTTCCTGAACATTAACAATAAAGGAGTCTTTTTTAAAATTATAAAAATAGCAGTTCCTAATGAGAAATTAACAAACACTTATTACTTTTATTTTTAAAAGCTTACAACAGCAAAAATAAAATTAATAGTACATAAAAAACAATAAAAAGATATTTTTATGTATTTATGTAAATTCTTTGTGTAATTATTAGAAGTTACAGTAGTGAGTAACCTTTTCTTGCAAAATCAAACGTGAATATAGAGAAATTCGATAATATTGACAAAAAAACACCTACAACTATCTTTATATATTTTTTATTAATTATTTTTCACATAGTTAATGTTCTGTTTAACTGTGAAATACATCCCTTCTTACTAATGCTGTGAAATAAGTTTTTCTACCACGAAAAAAATATAGCCTAAATCATAATTCCTAATTTTATCAAGATCAATAGCAATGTACAATTTTAGCTAGAGGCTATTGTATTACAATAATCATAATTTTATTGTATGATCTACTGATAGTTGACCTTAATGACAGCTACAAGTTTTAGAGTTTGCATCTATTGCACATGACCAGAGAAAATAAGTTCTTGGCAAAGAATTCAACTCTCCTTTAAACCAAAATGTCAAAAACTATTATATATACGTTTAAATAAAATTTTCTCACTTCTGATATTTTGATAACTCTCCTATAAGATTGCCATCCAAGCATAATTTCTGAAATCTGTAAAACGTTTATACATGAAATATTTCAATTATTACCTTATACTACTGATTTAACACCAAATTTATTCGAATCATGCCAAATTGTTAGTCAAAGATAAAGAATAATACTTCTGAAGTAAAAATGTAATACTTTTCTAAGACATTTATATAAAATATTGAATCACATGAGGAATACCTCATCACAAAAAAACAAACAAACAATATTCATTCTTTTTAAGAACTAATTGGTCAAATGAAAACAAGTAAACTTGAACTTACTGTTAATGTTTCCTCAAAAAATAATCATCACCAACATTGAAATAACAACTGATTTACTTTCTCGCCACAAATTTAATAAGAGTTTAGTATTAAAAAGGTTTCTCTAGAGGTTCATGCAAAGATGACTATCCCAGAACTGACAATTTTTTTCAGTACTTTTAAAACTCCATTCATGGGTGAAAAGCTTAAAGGAAATCATTAAGAGATAGTGGTCTTTCCAAATGCTGCTTTGATATTTTCAGCTATATTTGTGTGCATATATGTTATACCAAAAACAAAAAAACAATCTAATAAATTCATCTTAACAAAAATCAGCATAAACAAACAATGTTCACTCTATACAAAACTATCTTGTTCCAGAAGGTTTAAATAATATGACATTCCAATGTATTTTTTCATCAATTTTACATGGGATAAAAAAAAAAAAAAGACATCCTAATTACACTGGTTCTTTCTAGTCAAAAGTAAACCTAGAAATTGCCTATTGTACTCCTAATGTTTTTTTAAGTGGTCCCATCTGCTGGCTAACAACAAATAGCATATAAAATATATATTCCTTTAATTCAAAAAAAATAAAAACAGTAAATACAGCTCACTAACTTAATTTTGAATACAAATAAATCATTGTATTGCAAACCTACACAAACTTTTTAATCTTAAAATATGGAAAAAAAGGAGCAAACTAATTTCTAACAGTGTGATAAAATATTTGTCTGAAACATATTACTGATTAAAATGTTGTAGATTCAGCACCATAAAGTAAAAGTTTTACCTAAAACAATGGAATAAAGATAGATTGGAAAACTTCCCAGCTGTTATCAGCACAATAAATAAAGTTTTTAAAGATCACTTAGAGGAAGTACTACATTAAATCATCTCTTATGTGCTTTACAGAAAGAGAAAACTCTTTTTTTAAATTTTTAATAGATAGCAATACCCAACTTGTTGTTTGAAGCAAACTGGCTTAATTGTTTAGTTCTATATTAATTATAGCAATTATTAGTTTTCCAAGTGGGATAAGAAGAAAATAGCTATACTTAAATTTCAATATCAATAATGAAAACAGGATAAAAATTGTTTTAAAACAATAGCACATACAGTCACAAGTAGCAAAAACCTAATTTAAAAAATGATTTTAGTTCTACAAGCTCAATATATTTTTGTGTAAAAATAAAATAAAAAAATACAGCAAGCATGTTAAAACACTGGGTATGAAAACAACAATCAAAATAGGAACATTAAACAGTAGATAATAAAATCTTTGGCTGGTTCATAGTACTCTCGTCGTAACATTACCAGTGCTGGCAACATACGTACTTCACTAAAAATAGCAGAGTCTGATTCCATTACTACAATAAGTAAACACCACAAAAGCAGGATTATAAAAAGGAAGGCTAGGATGGTTACTCTTACCACATTTACTGAATGAGAAAGAAATTGTTGGTTACTTTGACATTTTGTCTGCTGGGGAATTATAAGATCTTGTTGGATGCTTTTTTCTGCCTGTTGTGTTTTAGATAGAGCATACACTTCCTCAACATATTCATTGTGAGGCTTCTGTTCAAGTTTCTCACCAGTTTGTGAAGTTGAAGTTTGACATGAAGGAAAAGTTATCTCCAGCTCATCCTGCTGGTTATCCTCATTAAGGTTTTGAGATTCCTCAGATATTTTGTCCTCCAACTGTTCAATCCGTTGATTTTCAGGCTCCTCAAGCAGAGGGATGGGGGCTTCTTCATGTTCTGGTAGAGTCAGACCACTCAGACTTTCAGTATTCTGTGTGGAATGGTTGATGCACTTATAGCTGGAGGAGTCTGTTGAGGTAAAGGAATCCATATTTTCTGTCAATGGAGCTGAGTTGTTCAGGTAGTGGATGTCAGAAAAATCTGAAATAGAACCTTACATAAACTGATGCATATTGGACAAAATCCCCAGTTGTAAATAAGATAAATTTATAACATTATGCACTTTACTTTATCTTGCAGTGAAACTGACAAATAGTAAAATGTAATTTTTTTCTTATCCTTTTATTATGTGTTTAGTATATAAGAGTGATTTTGTTAGTTACAACAGCTCACACACTAATTCCACCATTGATTACCCATTAGTGTCTGACCCTGCAACTTATACTGTTAAAAGCTTCTGTGAAGAATGGCAAGGTCAACCTTAGACTATACATCTTGACAAATTTTACACAGATTCTCCCCTGTACATGGATGTGGCTATAAAAAAACAAGTTTCAGAAAACCAAAATCCACAAAAGTTCGCGAGCTGCATCAAGAACATTTGCAGGTATGTGATTGAATGGGATTGTTATAATTCCAGTTTTTTGGGGGCCATTATTCTCTTGAAAAACAGCAATTTATTTTGAGGCATGGATTGAAGCTTGTGAATCTTCATCAGCTTCAGAGTTTTGTTCACTATCTTGTTTACAGTATTAGGTGATATGCCTAGCTTCACTGAAATACCTTATTGGGTCATAAGATTTTCTTTTGCTGTGACCATAATGTTCACTTTGAGGATAACAACGCTACTCCAGATCAAGTTGAAGTATCAGACCTTTTAGCTGTTCTAAACACTCTGCTTTGTGAGTTTTTTGTTTCCAGAACAATGAAAGATCCTTTATTCAAAATGTTGTCTTTTAGCTACACATCATTTAATGATCACAATGTACGAATATTTCTCTCTGGAAAGACTTTTTACATTTCTCTAGCTCTTAAGTCTAGCCATGATAACACTGCTCTGTGGAATGATTGGAAATTCACTGTGAATTGAATATACAGGTGCTAAACATTTTACCTGTGGCATCACACCTTCCACCTGTGATAATATACTACTATGTTTGTGGTAGTCCGAGTTGTTAAAAATGTACTTTAATAGTAGCTACCAAAGGTTAATCCCTTAGTTTACTTGATAGAGCACTTGCTTGGCATATGAGAAATTTCCAGTTTGAACACAGAAACACAAATGGGCTTAATAAAAAAAGACTGGAATCTAACTAGGTGCCATCCCAGGACCATGATATAAGACATGAGAGACAGAATGTTATTCTTCCTCAGGTTTCAAACATGGTAAGGTCTGAGAAGAACAATGAGGTGGTTTGAGCTGTTAAAACAAGAGGGAATCTTCAACAGTTGTGGCACTTGAAAATCTTTTAGGCAGGATTAGAGTAAATTAATCTTTGAGACCTTTTTTCCCCTTTTTATTAGCTATATTTTTGTGCACCAGCAATACCAAGCATGGGGAATGCATATATTTTTTTCCCTCATCAATATCTCTACCAGCCTACCCTCAAATTGAAATTATTTTAGGCAGAATTAGAGTAAATTAATCTATGAGACCTTGGGTGTGGTTAATAAGTCAATCAAAAGGGTTTGACCTCCTGAGTCCAAAACTGTCATTGGATCTCAAATTGGTCAAGAGATGATGGAGCTATGAGCTAAAAGTTCGTATTTGAAAAAAAAACTTGAGCCATTCTATGAACTAGTATGCCACAGCTAAAAAAAAGTGCCTTATTAGTAATAGCTTGTGGATTAACTCTTTAAGACTAGTTCGTAAAGCACTCATTTGGTGTACAAAAGGTGCCAGATTGAATTCTACTTATGGAAGATGCAATAATTGGATAGCCACAAACTAGTATACACAAAAAACATGTAATAATGCTTGGAGATGGCTTGAATGGGTAATGAAGAAAAACTTTAATATAAGTTTAACATAACAGCAAATGTACAATGTTTTGACAAAGTTTTGTCATCATCAGGTACAAGCAGTTTATACTGACAGATATATATATATATACAGTATGGAACAAAGAGGTCACATGACTGGATACTGTTGCAAGACTTAGAAGAGATATCTTAGCTCCCCAGGGTGTTGGTTTAGAGTATGAAGAAATCAACCACATAAAGCATTCCTTCATTCATACCAATAAATTTCCACCAGATATTGTTGAAAAACTCTCCAACATTCACCACAAC